CATACCTTCGGTGTATAGGACGCAAGCAGATTTTGACATCAAATTTTGGGATAAAAGGTGCGTCTTATACACCAAAAAATACGGTAGTTATAAGAGTTTTGTTTGGTTGCTGATAAGCCCGAAGATACGGAATGGGCTATTTGAGTTGTGCCCACTACAAGTATCGAAATCTGATTTTTAGTGTGATAAGCCTAAGCCACCGGGGGCACGTACAAGAGTTTATTTGTTTTGTAGTTAAGCACAAACGGGCTATCTGTGCTCTGCTGACCACGGGCATTGAAACCCGATTTCTAGAGGTGTAAGTCCGCAGACATATTGCTGTGCCACTGGGGGACGTATAAAAGAGAAAAATACGTTGTATTAATTTTAGGTACTAGCCATTCTGATCAATCAAAAACTTCTTAGTTTTTCACAGATTAATGAAATGCATTTTTGATAAGCAATCTTCGACTCAAAGACAGAAAAAAATGACTATTTTTAGAGGTGGTAGTGTATCCCATCAGATCCGGAAGCCTAAGAGTGAGGCACATGGCTGTGTAGGGCATGATCCAGGAATCGTTTTGCCGTGCTGTTTTCTTTGGTCTGAGTAGTCGTTAAGGAGTTTATATCCTATCAAGGTGGACCACTCACATACGCTAATGTCTCGCTGGTTCGCCATTATTTTAATACTCCTCTTATCCTTATAATATTCTTGAACTTATTCAGAAAAAAAAATGTATTCTCCGTCCCAGTGGCACAGCGGCATGTCTGTGGACTTGCAACGCTAGAAACAGGGTTTCTATACCCGTGGTGGGCAGAGCACAGATAGCCCATTGTATAGCTTTGTGCTTAACTTCAAACAAACAAACATTCTCTTCGCAACGTCGAGATTCGCGTCACACAAAATCGTCTTCTTTCTTTTCCCTATTAGAAGACAAGTCGTTGGAATTATCCGTAAGTTTATCACTCTCGTACGCAGACGTATTTCTCTTTGGGTGCTTGACAGCAAAGCTTCTCTGACCTCTCTTATAGGTAACTTCTTGAGCAATTGGTATGCCATTGTGATTCAATTCATACCTGCTACACTTGTAACACCTCGGACATTCTGCTACTTTACATTTACAGATTAGCTTTGAATCCGACCAAATTTCCATCTCGACAGAAACAAACACTCAGAGATTCTGGCTCATTGTCTCAGCAGTTCCTCACAGGTTTCATAAAAATGTTCTGGAATAGTGTGTGTTCAATAAGTAATGTACTACAACAATGTCATGACCGTTGTCTAAATTAAGATAAAAAAAATAACCCAACTGTACTGACAAAAAACAATCACTAGCTTTTTTGGGTGTTATCCAATTATAAATCGAAGTATACTTCTGGATTCTTCGAAAAATAATTTAAACAAAAAAGGAAAAAATGATTAAACGCCAGACGTGGTTCGTACAAAGTTTCCTACCATTTCTGCTACCGTTAAGTTAGATATTTCTTATTAAAAACCAAGAAACAAAATACTAAATTTTATGATTGTTTGTTATGGATTTCGCGCAAAGCTACACGAGGGCTATCTGCTCTAGCCGTCCCTAATTTAGCAGTGTAAGACTAGAGGGAAGGCAGCTAGTCATCACCACCCACCGCCAACTCTTGGGCTACTCTTTTACTAACGAATAGTGAGATTGACCGTCAAATTATAACGTCCCCACGGCTAAAAGGGTGAGCACGTTTGGTGGGACGAGGATTCGAAACCCTCGACCCGCAGTAAACTTAATGAAACTTTACTTCGTTGAACTATCAAATAATTAAGTTTATTCACCTATAGTATTGGCTATAATTATAGAAACACCAAATGATACATATGCATGAGTGAGTAATTGCAACTAAATGGGCAATTTATTATTAGCACAACGCATAACAGAAAATAAATGTGAATAGCTTTTACAGTGCATTACCATTTTCCATTTGCTTTAAACAGAGCAGTCCATTTTGTTGTTGTTATACTTCCATAAGTTTCTTAGTGTTGGATTGTAAAATATTGTGCCAAAATTCCTAATTTACTCCCCTCTAGACTTCATGCAAACCAAACTATGGTTGAAAGTGTTCCGTCGCCCCTTTTTAACTCCATATATCATTTCACCACATTTTCTGCACGATTATCATGCAGAAAAATTAAATCCTGCCCAACAGACTACTTGTACCTATCAGCAGTCACGATGCCATTAATTCTGTGTAGATATTCACCACCAATGGTAGAGGTGCAGATCATACACGTAATAGTGCTCCAACATGCTTCATTGCACATTATACTGTTCTCCCTTTTCTGCTACCAATCGGACTTACATTTATACATAATTACATGGAAAATCACCTAAACAATTACTTTTTACTTAAATTTTCATTGTTTTTCTAACTACAAAAGACGGTAAATGACAATACACGTTTATATTTTTGTAACTGGTAAAGCTTTGGTCTCTCTCTCTTTCCTCTTATATCAGCTGCCCTCCCAGTGTTTTAACGATATAGTCTGCGTACTAATAACGCTAAAAACCAGGTTTCAGTACCCGTGGTGGACAGAACATATATGTAGCCCATTGTGTAACTTTGCTCATAACAACACAACAACAACTTGCAGTTTGTTGCGACTAACAACCTTGTCACTACATGATTTTTACTTTAAAAAAAACGTAATTTAACGACATAATGAACCACTAACATAATTTATAATTAATAGTAGCACCATCTAGCGGTACATATTATTACCACTAAATCATATTGCATAGTTCATTCCAGGGGCATGTCCACCGAGATAGCTAAGGTGTCAGACCCCCAGTGAATAGCTCTGCTTTCACTCTAACATATCAGAATTTAAATTATCCCCATATTGTGACACCCACTGACATGAAAGTATTAAGTTTTTATCCCCCTAAAAATATCACTGATTCATTCCATGCATAAAAACACCTCCACCTGCCCCTAGAATGATCAGTTTTAACGTAGCAATTCACCACTAAGTATTAAAAAATACTAATATATGTGCTACAGTTGTCAAACCCAAGTTGAGATTAATATCGTGTGAATATTCTTATATATGTTTTGCCTGTTCAACAAAAAGAACAAAAGTAATTTTACCACTTTTTGACTGGTTATTTCTCTTGATCTAAAACAGATTTGTAGCTGCTGTTTTTAACATTACGTACGTGTTTCAAATTGTTTGCAAACATAAGAATAGTGGCATTCAAACATTTTGAACAACTGTAACAATACCTTAACTTTGTACAAAGTTTAATCCGGGATAGTCATGACTGGTACTCCATTCTTGTCTGGAATCATTAAACTACTTCTATATACACGATAATTAACAGCCCAAACACTAAATGTCACTGTCTTAACAACTCACCCAAATGCCTTTTATTTAAATTTTGTCACGTGAAATTTCACAAACTACTGTTTCTAATATAAGTCCTACGTATTTCATATAATTTATTTTTTAAACTATTGATTTGAATGAAAAAAATAAACATTTATTAAATTGTAAGCAATCACGTGGCAGCATTTGGAAACCGAGAACAACCCAATCAAACTGCTAAGATAGAATATGGATTATGGAGAACCTGTAAATATCTTCAATTGAAGAACTTTGACTATAAATCTAACATTAAAAAAAAATACATAAGAAAACGAGTGTTAGATGTGATATTTAGTCTATGGAAAATCATATTCCGTAAACCCACTTCCACTTTAAGAGATTTAATGCAATTATTCAGTAATAAATAATAATAAACGTAGTTATAAAGGTTGCTCATAACACAGGTTATGTTGATTGCAGAAGCTTTATTTCTAGTTACAGTGCTGTAAATATAAATATTACACTTAGAGCGGTAATAGCTCATTTGTTTATCTGAAGATATATAACAAGAGTAACCTACTATTGACGATCATATCGCACATAACACTCAAATCTCACCGAAACAACTTTCACCATTTTACAGCTTTATACATAAAACACTGGTTAAACAATTCAAAAAGAGTGGCTGAAAATTATCACATGACTTGGTGAATATCACATTTGGAAAGCATGTACACACTGTGGAAAGCTTACCTGCAAAAATCTCCTGAATATTAGATCAAAAATATATCTGAAAGACGTTTTTGTCAAATTTTAAGTACTTATATTTTTTCGCAAAAATTGTCTTTTTTTTTTTTTTTAAATCAAAACAACTCAAAGCATTTACAGATTTATGAGAATAAAACACATCAAAAACATTAGATAAGAAATACCAACCACCACTAGATTATAAATTTGTGAAGCAACAACATGCAAAGAAAAAAATTAACTTCAAAACTTCATTCCAATATTTGGCCACAATAAATTTTGGCAATAAACACCATTGCAGTTTAAAGGCATCACACAGAAACTTGCATGTACACCTTGAAACTGCCTAAGTTGGTTAAGCAAAGTTTGTAAGACTAGAACAATGGTATATAAAAAGGAATCAACCAAGAGACTAGAACAATAAAATACAACTCAAAAGATTTCATTCAGTAAAATATATAACCATCTTTGAATTCAATCATTATCAGGACCTAAACACAATGAAATTCTTGAATAGGAAAATTCACAAAAATGATCTTGTGATGTACAGTAACAATGATAAAGTATCTTTAAAATATCAATGATAATAGGTAAATTCATTCTCAATTATTTTCTTACACTTTCAAAAGTCTGTGAAACATATTTTATGCAACCATTAATAATTTAGTAGTGTGGATCTCAAACATTTTACTTTAGTATTAGAACTTCATCAAGTGAAAGAGAGGCCTTTTAAAATTAAAGTTTAAATACTTATAGAAACGTGATTCAAGTAATAACAAATTGAAGAATAAAAGGAAATAGTAACCAAATAAATATAATTTTATAAAAAAATAAAACCACTAACTTTATACCTAATAGCCTTTAAGTTGAATAATTATATAGGCCTTATCACATATTCAAAGATGTATTTTCTTTTCAGATAGTCAGTTCTCTTATATGTCAAAGTCATTCAGCAAATACAGATATTAATAAATGCTAAAAGAAAAAAATCAACAAAAATGGGAAGAACATTCACTTTCATACTACTAATTCAAGGTATAGTCATTTTCTGGAATACTCACTTTACTAAAAGATCTACATCTAATAGTAATATGGGATGGTTAAATTTTTTTCTATAAATCCAATTTAAAAAAATAGGTATATTTTACGGGTTTTACATACATTTCTTGTTTCTGCCATTAATGTAACAATTTTAAATGAATATTCATTTTTAGAAGACTTGTTTTTTGTTCAACTTCAAGTGACAGCTTTTTACTCTCTACATAAAAAAAACTAATATTTTAAGCAAGAAAACATTAAAAATAAGCTCAGAAAAAGCAACAGCATAATTATGATTAGAAGTTTAACTTCATAAAAGTTAGACTCTGATAATTATGGCATTTGAACTGGAGTCAAAAGTGGCTTCCCATCTAAAACGGAAAGGATGTTTTTGGCTGCCAGAGTTGCCATTTCTGTTCTTGCTGCTTCCTCAGCACTGCCAACATGCGGGAGAAGAATTATGTTTGGTAGTGTTGTGAGTTTGTGGTCCCGGGGTAAAGGCTCAGGAACCATCACGTCCAGTCCGGCCCCACGGATCACGCCATTCTTAAGGGCTTCATACAAGTCATCCTGCTGCACAACTCCACCACGGCTGGTATTTATAAAAACTGCAGTAGGCTTCATTAGACTGAAAGCCTTGGCGTTAAATATCTCCTTTGTTTCCTCAGACAGATTACACATGGCAACTACAAAATCAGATTCTTTCAACAGCTCTTCAAATTCAACAAACTGAGCTCCCATATCTTCTGCAGGCTTGATTGGATGAAACAGGTCAAAGTATAAAATTTTCTTAACTCCAAACGGTAGAAGTCTCTTCATGACTGCTTGACCAATTCTTCCCATACCAACAATTCCTACGGTGCTGTTGGTCAATCCTCGACCACACAACCACAAAGGACTCCATGAGTAAATCCACTCTCCATTTTTAATGGCACAGGCAGAATCAAAAATTCTTCTACCAACAACCAATAAAAGTGTAACAGTAAGTTCTGCTACTGAGTCAGTGGATACGTCAGGAGTGTTACTTACAACTATATTTCTTGCCTTACATTCATTAAGGTCAATATGGTCATATCCAACAGACATGGTAGCTATAACTTTTAGCTGAGGCCCAGCTGCATCCATAACATCTTTATCAATCTTATCGGTGAGGAGACAATAAAGAGCGTCCTTACCCTGCACTCCTTTAATAAGAGCATCATGTGGAATTGGCATAGGCTGATCATAGATTTCGACATCGCATTTCTCTTTCAAAAGATCAATTCCTGCCTGAGGAACATCAGGTCTAGTAACAAATACTTTGGGCTTGCTCATCGTTTAAGATGTTCTACTTCGACCAACTGTATAAAGAAAGATCTGCTCTAAAACTAACAACTGACGAAATCCTAGTCTTTGAAAACTAATGCTAAATGTGACCTTGCGCAAAGTCACGTAGCTGAAACCGGTATCACGTGACGGTACATATCGGCCCTCTCGTGTTTATTACATGCTATTAAAATTTTCAACTCGAAAAATTCCATGTTTAATCAAAGAAAATGTAATGAGTGCTTAGTACGAAATATAAAAGTAGATAAATTAATATAGAAACAGAAAATACATTTTATATTACAATTCTTAGATTTAGATTACATTATATTTGGATTTAAATGTAAAAAAATCTAATTTTATCTTCAAATATATCTGACTAGTCACTAAGAAGTAATACCTTCCTCACTTGTGTGGAACGACGTTAGAATTATATTTCCCTAATTTTGCCAAATTACCAAATTTCTACAAATATATAAAACTTATATCTAGCTTTAGTCATTATTGTCAATTTTATTCAAAGCATTTCATTTTCCAAATTTCTGGTCAAAATCTCATAACAGAGTATAATAAAATAATTAAAATATAATAAATGTAATATTATTGCCATCATAGTTTCCCGTTATAAGAATATAGAAGTTTTAAAAATGCCCCTTTCGTTCATTTTCAAGACTGTTGTCTATTGGATTTATGATTCTTGTACTGAAGTTCAAACACTACTATTTCCTTTATTCGTCGCTTATCTATTAACTTCATCACGTTTCCTATTGACATTTATAAGATTTTGTCACACAATAACAACATAACATGGATTTTTTTTAGTTCGATGTCTTTCAACAATCCTCCATTTTAAAGTAAATACAACTAAAACTCGGTTTATTGTTTTTATCATAGATGTATAGTAAATATATGTCATTTTAATTATATCATTTATGCTAATGTCAAAACGTGTTTCTAATTTTTTGTATATGGGTGCAATTCAGGAACGTTACACTTAATCAAATGGCCAAGTACATCTTCAATAACTCTGAAAAAAATGAAAATTAAAAATCACCATGTGAAAAAGAGGGAGAAGAAGAAAGGACCACTCACCTATTATAGTTATCATTTGTTGTTTTGTAATTTTCACAAACGGGATCGGGTAATCCTATGCGCTTAGCTTCATCCCTTTCTTGAGAGACATAAGCTCCACGAACTAACTTAATTCCAAAGTAAACATTCAGCCTCCGTGCTATTGACATTTCATTCTTAACATTGTCCATTGTCTTCTAGGAGATTACATATATAAGAAACTATAACATGCATAATTAAGTACGAAAGACATTTACGAGGAAAATGATAGACGCGCTATTATGCAAAATTAACAAAAATGACTTTGTATCACTGAATTTATCACTGACACAGTTTTTATTAGCTTATTTTTCTTTAACATAGAAGAAAGCAAAATATATTTGATTTTACTAATTATAATAAATTGTCACAAACCTAATCTAAGTTTATAACAAAAAAAACCAATTCTAAAGTGACTTTTTCAGTGGTAAAAGCGCAATACTAGAATCAAAGCTTATTGTGAATAATAATAATAATTTGTTTAATCAAGTATGAGATTAATTCCCTCTCCTGCTTACTTTTCAATAAATTCAACTTACGTGGTTGATGTTGGGTTCGTTAGAAATTGTGAATTTTGACATAAAAGTCTTCAAATAATTATTATACTGCTCCTACCTTTAGGCTTATCTCCATATGATGAAATATTCTGAGTCGTTTTTCCACTTTCTTATAAATTGACAATTTAACTTACGTTAAAAAAAAAATTACAGAACACCACATGTACGCTCGTCTCGCAAAGTTCTACAATAATTGTAATTAAACAATATATCGGGCTATAAAATCTACAATTACAGTATTAATTTTTGTACAATCTCAAAGTCAAATTAAAAAGTTCGTACATAACGTAACTGCTAAATCTGACAAAGATCCATGTTTTTAGTTTCAAAAGAGTAGTTTTTGACCATTAAAGAGTGTTACAGGCCGAAAGCTCATTTTGTGCTACGATTTTTACGAGACACAAAACCACCGTTGTTTGTCATATATTATTTGTCTTCGGTGGCTCAGCGTTAAGCTAGAAAGTTTATAACGCTAGAATTTGTGGTTCAATCCCCGCAGTAGATAGAGCCCATTTGCAATAAACTAATCAACTTATATATACATATACCATGAAAGTCATAATTGCATGTGGTAGAAAATTATGATTTTAGTCACACGATGGCGCCACATGGCTCATATTCATGTAAAGCTTGTGCTGGTTACTTGTTATAGAATCTAAAGTAAAGCCAAATTGAACTATCTGCTGTGTACACTGCCAGATTTTAGCGTTGTAATTCTGTAGACTTACCGCTGTCCCACCGGAGGGACCACATAAAGTCTATTTTATATAACTTAATGTTGTCTATACCTTTAGGCATAAATTCTCTAATAATCATAATTGCGTGAATCAAGCTTCTTTGCTGGTATACCACCAATAAAATTAATATATTATTATATCGAAACGTCTTTTTTTCACATAAGATTTGGTCATTTTATAGAGTATAGAGTATTGTATCCAATCAATAAATTTTTGTAAGACAATTTAACGTATAGGTGAACTTTATTTTTCTTCAATGGTTTTATTTTACATTGAGTTCGGTTACACGTCATTCGTATTTATAGTCTATTAGGTCAAGGTACATAAATGTGCCAATTTTTCAGTAGTCCGAATCAAACTCCCGTCATAAAATAGTCTAGGTCTTTTTTTTTATCTCATTTGGATCAAAGTCAGATCTTCTCAAACTATTTTGCCTACTTAAAAGTTCGTAAGTGTAATATATAAAAGTTATAAATATCTAGTTTTGGAAACCTGAATAGGTCTTATAATTATTTTCTGTCAGTGATAGAAGTAACGAATTTAAAAACCGTGTAAATGGAAGACAATAGTTTTAGTTTATTATTAACTGACCTTTAATAATATTTAAAGCGTTCGACGGAAATGTTAAATTAAAATAAAATGCTACTAAACCTAGAACTGATTTCTGTCGTTAATTAGGAGTCTCACTCATTGTAAGAGGCCTAGTAAATGGCAGTCGCGTGAAATGCGATTCTAATAAACAAAGTGATTGATAAAATGTTTTTTGTTAAAAGAATGCCTTGTTACTCTTACATTTTTCTTGTTAAGAAGTATTAAAGTTCCCTTTTTTACATTTTTCTTTATCTCTGTCTTTTAGTTTACATGATTGCTAAACATAGATAAATTACTGGAAATAACTTGATCATGTTTTAGCAACTGGTGAATAAACAGCAGACAATTCTGATCAGTCACGTGAGATTGAATATCAGAATTAAATCTTTCCCAGTTAAAACGGATGATACGTAAAATAGTTTACAACTTGTTTTATTATTTTTATGTAACTTACAACAGCGAATAAAAAACAAAATGGAGGCCCATTATATGGAATCTGTAGTTAACAAAAGGGTGAAACTATTTCTGGGGCCTAGCATGGCGTGGTAGTTAAAGTGCTCGACCCGCTCGAATCCTCCGTCGCATCGAACATGCTCACCCTTTTAGCCATAGGGGTGTCCTAATGGTGCTGTCAATCCTACCATTGTTGGTAAAAGAGTATCCCAAGAGTTGGGGTGGGTGTTGTTGACTAGCTGCCTTCCCTCTAGTCTATCACTACTAAATTAAAGACAGCTAGCGTAGATATCCCACGAGTAGTTTTGCGCGAAATTCAAACAAACAAACAAACAATCATTCATGCAAATGGGAATTTCAAGAGCTACGTTTTAAACATAGAAAAAAATGAAATCGAACATGTTTTAATGTATGTGGTATCTAATATGGTCGTAAAGTATTATAAATATATACACACATAATTTATTGTAACTATAAGGTTTGAAAAGTTGGAAAATAGATTATAATACGACATTTAACTTTTTACAGTTAATATTTATATGTACACTTATAATTTAGTAAGAATTGTCCAAGGGTCTTATTAAAAACCAAAACGAAAACCTAAGATTCTGCCAAAAGAAACAGAAGATAATTTGTTATTAGAACATAGCCTATACAGAATTCTAGACTCGTCCAAAAGATGAGCCCGAAGCCTAACAATTTCCAATGATAGACTTGCAAGACATGTTTTAAATTATGTCAATGGTTCGAAACATTATAATTTTATGTTTTCAGCTCATATTCTCAGGCAACCTTTGTAAATTTGTTGGTAAAAGAGTAACCCAAGAGTTGGCGGTGGTTATTGTTGACTAGTTGCCTTCCTTCTAGTCTTTCACTGCTAAATTAGAGACAGCTAGCGCAGATAACCCTCGAGTTGATTTGCGTGAAATTCAAAACAAAACAAACCAATCAACAGATTTGAAACACCCATTACGTTTATACCACTTAACATGCAGTGATACAATCCTAGTATTGAACGACATTATATGCATCTTTCTCTATAAATTAACTTCACTGTGGAATTCTTCAGCGTTCGCATTACAAAATGTTTTCCCTGGTAATAATTTTATTAGTACGTTACAGAAATTTTGTGGTGTAGCTAGAAAGTTTGTTTGTTTGTTTGTAGTTAAGCACAATGGGCTATCAGTGCTCTGCCCACCACGGATATCTAAACCCGGTTTTTAGAGTTGTAAGTCCGCAGACATACCGCTATGCCACTGGGGGTCAGCTAGAAAGACAAGTTCATCAAAGAGAACGATGTCAGCACATTAAAAACAATAATAGGCGGGACAATGATGTGCAGAAACAAAACACTGCTGAAGAGTTTACTTCTAACGTCAATTTTTTATTTCTGCTGGCTTTTCGGGGAGAATAATCACGCAACAAATTCCAAATACTATAAATTTGCTTTGGAATGTTATAAACCAAATCTACTCTCTTTGTATCTCAGAAAATGGTAGTTCTGGTACTGTTCGCTTAAAACTCTCAGAAGTTTAATATTCGTGATAAAAATCACTAAAATTGCAGATACCCCATCCACATTCCCTTAATTGCCCATTTCGAATTTCAAATCAGAAATGTAAAAAA